CACCGCCACCTAGTGTTGCCACTGACGAAACCGAAAACCTCTTTGCGCCACCGTCGAACATTTCCAGTTTTATATTACCATATAGATGTGAGGGAAAGGCAGAACGTCCCATTGCTTTCGTAGTTTTTTCGTGTGGCTCATCCACCCCATGCCTTGAAAATTGGTGTAGTTCCTGGTCCTTTTCCAGCCTTTCTCGCCGTCGAGAGAGAGAAGCTCAAAGGACGCCGCTGGAGGCTCGGAGAGAGGCATTGGCGTAGATTAAGTGCAGCGAGAGATTGTTGCCATTGACAGGGTTGGCGAGGTCGATGATAAAAGTCGGCCGCTCGTCTTGTTCGAGCAGCTCTATGACGCCACAGCCATTGAGCAGCTGCAGGCCGGGGGGGTAGATACTGGCTGCTGGGGCTTCTCGAAGAACTGCCTCCGGGCTCGATGGAGGACCAGCTGCCGCTTCCAGATGTACTCCCGGAGCGGGCCGGGCTCGCGGAGCTGACATGGCCACGGGGCAGCCTGACGGTGCGGACATCATTCTCCTCGCGGAGGCGAGCCAGGAGCGCCGCGGCCGCATCTGTGGGCGGAAGAAACGGGGCACGGCTCGACATGGGTTTGGGCGAGTTTGAGAAGAACAAGGGTGAAGTGACGCCCTCGCTCTTCAGTAGTGCAAGAGCTGCGGCGGCTGTCGGTGTCCTGGGGACTCCGGAGAGATCGATGGCGCGCGGCGGCAGCAGACGAGTGCGGGGTTTCTTCAGTGGTGACGACTTTGCGCCAGGCCGTGCTGTATCCTCTTCGGACGGCCGCTTTACTGGCAGCGGGTTGGGTCTTCGGGAGGGTTGCTGAGGCTTCGTATGCGTCGACCAGGCGGTTGTCGGCGGCCACGTCGTGGACGCGTGGGGGAAGGTGGAGAAAAGAGTGTCGCGAGGTGTCGGCGTTGTGGTCAAACCATACCGACCGACTGCAGAAGACCAGTCGTCTCCGGCCAGGTGGTGAGAGCGTCTGTTCTGCCTCTTGCTGCTGAAGTCGTCGTTGCGAACGTGGGTGTTTACAGCAAAATCGGATCGGCAGACGTTATCGTGTGGGTGATCGAGGGCGAAAGAGTGGATGCGGACGTCGGTGCGAGGCGAGGAAGCAGGCGGGCCAGAGGATGGCGGTAATGAGGCGGAGAGGTGGTGCTTGTCTGGCAGGGGAGATGTTGGCCAAGCGGACGAGTGCGCCGTAATTGGCGAAGAGGGAAACCCAGGAGCACCAGGGCCTGTGGCAAAGGTAGCAGAAAGAGGCGACAACAACGACGACGACGATGCAGGCTCGACAGAAGAGAAGAAGGAGCGGCGAGTGCCACCGCAGAGGGAAGTGGGAGAGGCTGTGGGCGAGATCGGTCGGGTTGTGTCGTGGTGATGGTCGTTGGCCAACGGCATGAATGCGCCGCTTGGATGGTGCTGGTAGTGCTGGCTGGGTGAGGACGTACGTGGAGAGGCGGCCAAAACAGCAAGCAGCGCCTACCTAGAGGTACGGGCGGGGCGTGGGGAGGGGGGCCGGCCGAAGACCGACGGGCCTGGACGTGTGACAGGACAGGCGGCGGTGCCAGTCTCGATGGCGATGGAGGCGATGGCGACAGGGGAATCGAAAGAGGGGTACGGAGAGAAAAATCAGACGGCCAAGCATCCAATCCAGTGCTCCCACGGACTCTTTCCCGAATAATCGAAGTAAAGAGAAAGGAAGGAGAAGCTTGCTGTTGTTGCCTCCACTCTCTGCCCTTGTCGGGGATGGTGCGCGGTGATGACTTCCCGCGAGTACCTTAGTTCGTAGTAGAATCTTTCGAAGACAGGCAGGTACTGTCTGCGTGGGAATTGGGGTAAGACCCAGGAGCACAGCACTTCACTTCACTTCAGGGGAAAGGTGCGGGGGAGGTGCCCACTGGACGATGAGGTGGAAGTCCTGTCGGTGCTGTGGGAGGAAGCCTGGGGGCCTGGTCAGCGCGGGCACAGGCGAGAAAAGCGACAACGGTGGTGGCGGCAACTGGACGCACGAGGCAGCGCTGGCCATTGACGAGGGGGGGCCCCTGGTTGAGCCCGAGTCGTAGAGGTGATGGGACGGACAGCAGGCGAGGTAAGAACGGCGGGCGGCGATACAGGCACGGCTCGCTCAGGACAATGCCACATGCACTGGGGCACGGGTGGAAAGCGCACTGCCTGTGGTACCACTGGCGGCCGAGTGTTGTAGGAGTTCTGGATGGAAAGTAATAGGCTCGATTGTCCTCCGGGGCCAGGGGGGGTCAAGTGCTCATCGAGAGAACGTATGGGCAATCGAGATTCCAGTGGGCGGGCGATGCAAGGTCTCAATCGGGGCGGGCAGACAGGAGGAGACAGAGGGTCGATGGTAGAGGGCCGTCGCTAACAAAAAGGATGGGTCGGTCGGCGGCGGGCGGTCGGTGGCCGATGAGCGATGGTAGGTAGGCTCGTTGATTGTTGGCTCGGGAGTGATTCGGGAGCAATTCGAATGAGGAGAGATGGAGGGTAGGAAAGAGATGGGAAACTATCAGCTCAGCCAAATGGGCATGGAAGCTCAGATGGAAGGCCCGGGAATGGAAAGGAGAAATGTGCCTTGTCTCTTCTTGCTTTGCGTGGTTGCCAGCACGTCTTTCCTTCATCAGTCAGTCAGTCAGTCCCCTTAGGGCGAGCTCGTTTCTCAGCCAGCCTGCGTAACGAAGACGGGATGCGGGATGGAGCATGGAGCATGGAGCATGGAGCCCAAGCCAACCCAGAGACGGTACAGATCAGCAGCCGCGGCGTGTGGTCAGCGCCAGCCCCTCGGCCGCCTAATGACTCCCCCCCTCCTATGGGGCTGGCAGTTCCAATAAAGCCCGCCGGATAAGAGGGCCAAGAGGGCCCTTTGAGCGTCCCTGAGACGTGCCGTGGGGAATTTGGCGGTTCTAAACGCGGTCCAGACCTGTCTGTATGTGATACTTCCAAGGGATGATACCTCGTCTTGGTCGACATACGGTGGCCCTTCGGTAGCGGGCCATCCGCCGGCCGGTGAAATATTCGACGTCCCAGCCTAATACCGTCTCGATACTGCGGTTCGAATTGCAGCGCATGCCTAGAGGCATCTCTCACTAAGATACTTGGGCTCTCCTGCGTCTATATCCAGACAATGGCAGATACTTGGGGGGCTGTCTGATGATCCACCGCAGTCAAGGACGTTCGTTCAATGTGATGTACCTGGACAAACATCGCCGGCACCGTCGCCGTCACCGTCATCGTCACACTGTCACTGTCTGCTCCATCCGCCACGTTGGTTGCGCCCACCCACCAGCCCACACGCCATCATGTCTTGGCGTCCTGCTTGGGCCCCAGAAGCAGGTGCCATGCTCCTGGCCTCAACTCTGGACGCTGAGGAGGCTAGAAAGGTGCAGCAGCGACTGCCCTAGTCGTTCCACGTTGAGCTTGCGTCGGGATTCTGGCAGGCGGTCACGACGGCGATGCTCTCGCCTGCTCCACTGCTCGGAGAGCCAATTTGCTTTGATGTGAACCCGACCCTCGGAAGAAAGCTCGTCAAGAATGTACCAGATCGAGAGACGACCAGAACAGGTCCAATCGATATGTCACGGATGCTATGCCCGGGCCGCCCCCATCCAACCAGCGACCTGCCCGGGAGCAATGGCCCCAACGGCGCCAACAGAAAAAGCATTTCCCATCGTCCCATGCCCTTTTCTGAATCCCTTTTTGCCCTTCTCGGCACTTCAGCCAGGGCCATCCCTGCCGTCTACGGTCCAGAACGCAATCTGCCCCACTTGTCATCGCCGATCGTCTTTTCCTCGCTGAGGGCCACACACACACACACACGCACACACATCATGCCTCACATGTTGCCTAGTGGGCCGCTCGCCTTACCATTTAGTGGCAGACCGCCGGTCAAAGAACCCTCCAACCCCGAAGAAGCCCACCGGATCCGCATCACCGGGTGCCAACCTCGGGGAGAAAAAAAGGAATGCGCTGTGGTAAGCAGACGTTCGGGTCCTCGAAACACACAGCTGCCAAGCAAACGCCTTGTCTCGCCTCGATTCGTCCCGCCAAAGACATCCAACCGTCCGGCACCGAAACACGGGAAACGACTAAGTCGTTGAAACTCGTTCGTCCTTGAGACGACGAAGTGAGGATTCTATCATCTGAACGTAAAAGCCGAAGCAATGACGCCACGCCCCTATGACGACGTCCTTCTCTCGCCAGTCGCAGTAGCGCGGGACCTGTCAAGGTCCACCCGCTTTGCCGAGACGCCCACAGCCCTTTCCCCCCGTCTCTCCCCTGTTCGCGGTCGGTCGTGTTCGTCCCAAACAGAGTTTACGCTTCGTCGCCAGGCCAGTCCGGTGAAGCATGCTCTCCTGAAGCGCTACGCAGGGCGGGACTGGGAAGGCGCCAACAGGAGAAGGGTCGCGGGATCGACGGCAGGTAATAGACATCACTAGACGCACGGAGTATATTCCGCACCCCGAAGATCTTCGCACGTGGAATGTGCGCACGACGGCAGGCGGCCCCGCCAGACTGGGAGCGTAGAAGCCCAATGCTGCGTCGATCACGAATCTTCTACGCAGGCTCACTAGCTACGGCTGCATGTGCTTCAGATGCTATCAGGGTGCTATCCAGGTTGTCGGGGACAGACTGCCTGAAAGCCGGGGGCCTGCTTGCTCGATTGGAAGAGCAGCAGGCCGAGAGTCTCTTTTGAGCTAGAGGATCGTGATGAACGCCAGCGATGAAAGAGGGAGAGGTTCGTTTTTGGAGTCAGTAGCAAGAATGACGAGATACGAGCAGATTCTTGTGTGGGTCAAATCAACAGACCAGCGTTGGTATAGTAGTTGAGGGGAGATGTCTGCCTTCATTTACACCAATCTGCCTCGCCATCTAATCCTCTACGGGCTGCAGCCAAATTTGACGTCTGCCAACCCATCGTGCTCACTCGAGTTCGAGAAGCAATCATTTTCGTTTTGTTCAAGGTAAAAAAAACACTGAATAACACATGCTCCGAATTGAAACAGCAATCGGTCCCATTTGTTGGTGTCATTTGCCATACACATGTCCAGATATGTGAGGGTCAGCATTCAGCCAACAAATCCAACCTCATGTTCCCTCCTCCTTATTCAAGAGCCTGTGTTCGTCGTGGTAGTGGCATCTCCCTATGAGAACGAAGTCTGGCCTGCCATCACATTCTTGTTTTGGGTGATATCCTTGGACCTTCGAGGTCGGAACTTGCTATGTTCCGCGTTCCTGATTTGCGGGAGCAAGTCAGGATGGAACTTCGAGCTTGCCAAATGGCTGGCGGCACGAGTTGTTATCGACCTCGTAGCGTCCAGTGTGAGCCATCGCAGGAGGCAAATAAGCTGGTCTGGATGGACTATCGCTAAGTCTCTTACGCTACAGAATGGGAGGGCAGTTCAAAGATGCGATCCAGCGATATGGCCTGCCATTTCCCCGCCCTTAAAGGCATACTTCGGCGAGCCGCAGCTTGATGGATCGGCAACACAAGACTTCCAATGTTCTTCCACATATATAGCTCTTTGTGATGCGCCACGTCATCCCCTTCGAGGCACAACATGCACTAGTGAGACTGAGCCTCATTATTCTCGCGATGGCTACAAAAGACACAAGGACATCGAGATGGGGTCGTCTCTCGTTACTCGTGGGATCCTGGAGTGCACCGTGATCCGGAGTTGAAGCCCTAGAGAGAGCTCCTGATATGAACCGCGATGTTTGCTGTTATACATGTACATTTGTATAAGCTGACAAGATTTTTCTCCCCTGAAGTTTCCTTGGAGGTGCTGTCAGATTTCTCAGCAAAGCGAGTGCAAACCGCAGAGTTTGCTGGTTAGTAGAATGTCAAGGGAAATAGATAGTCAAGAAGTTAACTTCCTCGAACTAAGGAGCTTGTCACAGAGACGATGGCATGCCTATACTTCTGATGAGGTCGAACCATCTCACCAGGACCTCCCCAGCTGTCGGGTGAGACGCGTATCCATGTTTCCTTGCTGGTTCAGGGTGATGGGGTATGGGGGATGATCGAGCCTGGAAGGGCCAACCGTACGCGCTGTCTGTATCTATAGTGACCAGACCTTGTCCAGTTAGTAAAGATTGGGCATTCAAAATGATAGAATTCCTTCCAGCATGAAGGAGGTTGCCTGAGGTACCGCCATTTTCCTCAATCAAGGGGCAAATGTTGTTCCCAAGGGTATCGAACAAGACACGCAGGGTCGATATAGATTTCACCTCCCGCAACGGGGTCGTGTTTCGGATCTCAGGAGATAAGTTGAATATGGTGTAGAGCTACAGCGTATTGATCCAGGGCCCCAGGCATGCCGGGTTGAGCCTCGATCCTGTGACGGAGAAAGAGTCGATGGGCTATGTGATACCTCTCTCTTCTACCCCGCATTCGGAGGCGCCCTAAAATAGACAAAATGCAGGCGGTTGACAATGCGAATTGAATCAAATCGAATACAGGAGTTCACTAGAATGATGCAAGTGTAAGTCACGGCCGTAGCTATCCATGGTCAGCGGCTTTGTCTGCAACGTCGACATGTCGTCGTGAAGTGAGGGTGGAGCTCCGGCGAGCTCTCACGAAGCTTGGGCTACTACACTCCCCCAAGCCCCCCACCGGGCTAGCGGGCAGTGGGCGGCAATGGAAGGGCCACGGACCCATGATCTGCAGGTGCACCCTGAGTGCCTACTCGCGGGTGCTCATTGGCCAGGCCCCAGCCCCCAACCGCCAAATCACGACCCTCGCCCCTCATCACGGCGCTTACATCTCACCCCTCCCGGTGACAACCTGCCCCCATTGGCCATGGTCGCTGTGATTGCTCTCGCATGCCCGGCAAGACTGGCAGCCATCCCAGTACGACCACCCCAAATGCTGCAGAAACCAACGAACGGCGGGTGGCATGCCGTGAGGCCCATGGCCCTTAAACCTGCCACCGCCCACGGGAACCGGCGCGGCTCTTCTCTTTTCCCCCCTCCTTGAGAAGACGACGACGACGACGAAGACGACGAACAGACGACTTGTATCGATCCATCGGTGGCACAACACGGTCCGTGAAACTGGCATCTGGACCAATGTGAAAGACGACCTCTCTGGCGACGATTGCGCCTCGAGCGGTACAAAGAACTCCGCCACCCGACGTGAACATAGACAAAGCGAGGGAAAGACCCAGACGTAGACGACGACAACCCCTCGACTGAGCTCAACCTCGAAGACTGACAATTCATTTTCTTTCACAACATACCACCTGAAAATCCGAAACCCTCACACACGAGAAGATGAACTACCGCATCTTCCACCGCAAGTGGCCCTCGGCCAAGCGCTACATGTGGTTCAACATGCTCGCCGAGCTCATCTGCATGGTCCCCCTCCTTGTCCTCTTCGGCATCGCCCAGCCCAACACCTGGCGCACCAAGATGTGGCAGATTGGCTACGAGAATGGCTGGAACTCGGATCCTCGCATGATTCTCTACGCCCACGCAAACTATCGCCCTCTGCCCAAGATCCCCTTTGTCTGGTCACAATCGTGCGTGTTCCTCCGAATATCTGTCTCTCATTGAGTTGCTTCATACTGACCAACACCAACAGCCTGACCGACTTCAACGTAGCCCTGACACTCGTGTCCCTCTTCAGCCTCATCGTCCGCATGGTGCTCTTCATTATGAAGGTCTACTACCCCCTCGTTGCGCTCATCTTCAACATCATCCTCACGGCCCTTTGGACAACCTCCATGTACGGCCAGATGGGGCCCGATCACGCCGACCCCGAGCGCCCCTCCAACATTGCCTGGTACATCACCCGCTCCTGCGCCCCCGCCGGCGGCCGCCACAATGCCGAAAAGTCTTGCCGCCTCGCCAAGGCTTCCTTCGCCGTCACCGTCCTCATGCTCGCCGTGGTCCTCGTCAACCTCGGCATGGCCGTCTGGGGCATGTGGCCCACCGAGGCCGACAAACACCCGCACCGCAAGAACTCGCGCTGGGGCGACGACAGCGACGACGAGGACGACGAGGACGACAATGTCGAGTCGGACAGGAGCAGCCCCGTCAAGACGGGCGGTCAGTGGGAGATGGCCAGCATGGCCGGCGGCAAGGGACCCGCCAGCCCGAGAGTCATGGTCCAGCCGTACACGCCCAGGACCATGGCCTTCCAGACGCTGGATCGCAAGCTGCCACTGAGGCAGCAGTACGGTTGAGCGGGAGCCCATGCCGAGAGTGGTGCCTTTTTTTGTTTTGTTTCCTATCGTTAGAAGAAATGGCCGTGACGGGCAGGTGTGAAGCAATCTGTCTCTTCTGCTTGGAGTTTGGGACGTCAGAATTCTTTTGCTACAAGACTACTACTCATTACTGTCTGTGGAGCGTGGAAATGAAACCATCCATGGCCAGTGTATAGGCCGGCCACTCTCAAGACGGGACAGTTTCCCTCGTGTACACTACAAAGCCTACACTGTCTGAGCTGCAACACAAGCATGACATTGTCAGAACGGGTTCGAATTCAGCCTTTCTTTCGTGATATGTAAACTGCACATATGCCCGTGCTACGAACCGTGCCGTCGTAGTAGTCAAGTTTTCCGGGAGCAAGGTGCCTTCATTGCGTGGCGTTGCCCCTTTGTGTCAAAATTTGTACAGTATCGAAACACTGGCCCCTCCCTCATTCTGCCCCGGCCTCTCCGAAACTCACGAGGACAGCCTGACTTGCCGGCACCTCCACCTCCACCACACCCTCCCGTACCTCGACCCTCTCTCCAACCGTGACATTGCGCAGCCTCACGGGCCTCCCCTCTGCCAGTTCCTGGTTATAGCTCCAGCCGTCCCACGTGATACCGGAGATGGCGTCACTGCCGTTTGCAAAAAGTCTCTGCACCCGTGCCGACCCGTCCAGCCCCGGCACGGCAAAGGCATAGCGGAACAACGGGCGGGCCGGGGCCGCGGGGTCGGGAATCTCGCCGGTGCCGTTGACGGTTGAGTTGTGAGCCTCAAGGTTGAGGACGAGGAGGCGGGCTAGTGTTGAGTTGTGGTACGCGGCATAGGCGGCGGCGCGTGGGGTGGGAAGCGAGATATGGGCAACGGAGATGCGGGGTGGCGGCACAGCGTGACCGGGCGAGAGCATGGCGGCCACGGCGACGTTGCCGTAGTAGGGGGGCTTGGTGCCGGCTACCGTCGTGGATGTGGTGATGGGCTGCCAGCTGGCGTACTACCAAGGCGTTAGTACAGAGTTCAGGTAACGAGGGGCAGAAAGAACGAGTCATTTGCGAAAGTTACCCGGTAGTCGGTGCCCATGTGCATGTGCACACGTTTGATGCCGACAGAGGCCGCGTACAGGTTGAAATCGATGCCCCAGAGGGCTGCTCCGAAAGAGTTGGACAGGCCTGGTTTGCCCTGGTGATAGAGGGAGTTGTGCTCCCCTAGAATATGAGGCGGGACGTCATCGTGGTGGGCCGTCAAGTCGCGATATGTCCTCACATGGGCATCGACGGACTGCGCTGTCTTATGATGGTTCATCAACGTGTCTTGAAGGGTGACTCCGGGACTTTCGGCTCCACTGATGTAGTTGTGCGTCGAGAAGAGCTTGACGTTACCATCGCGGTTGAGACCCTCGGACCACTGTTCACTGGCCTGGAGAGGGTTGTAGACACCGCCGTTTGATGGGGCGACGTAGCGATAGAGATCATCCTCTAGCATGTCAGGGCATGACTTGCCCAGAGCGTCCCTGATTTCCCTGGTACCGTTCAGCCACTCCTTGATGTATTCTTTGGCGTTCCAGGTCAGAGGCCGCACTGGACCCTGAGCAGAAATGGAGAATAGGTCAGGCTCATTGCCGTACTCCCACAGGTCCAGGTTGGCTTTGCCAATGGCCTTACAGGCTAGAGGCACGGTAGCCAGTAAAGCAGCACGGCCTTCAGGTTTGATTCCGCCGATGCCGAGATTGAAGCCATGTGTGAACTTGGTGTTGTTGAACGTGCTATAGGACTCGAAGAAAGATGGGCCAATATCAATGGTCGTAGGGTAATCCTTCGACCTCTTCAGGTCATAGGTGCCGTTGACGGCATATGGGAGAGACTCATCGTACAAGGCATAGTCTTGGGTGTTGCCGCCAACGCGAACATAGGGTCGTACGCCCTGGAGCTGGCCTAGGTTTTCAAGCAGAGTATCGGAGAACCGATTTGGGTGAGATTTGTTACCAGCAAAGTCGGGCCAGAAGACAAACTCGATGGAAAAGCTCATAAAGGCATCGAAAATGGGGCTCGTACTCTCGACCCCAGGCACGACATGAATGCCATCAGCCGGAGAAGTAAGGGAGGCTACGACAAGTAGCAATGAGTACAGCATGTCGACAGAGGCTCGCAACTGCGGAAACTGTCTCAAAATGATACCGGCTCGTGAATGAAGCCATGGTGCCAGTGCGGTAACAGCGTCGCGGGCTCTCCCGGCCACAGCAACGAGAGGGTCCAAGATATCATGTTGGTATGGGGCCATTACGTTGGTGCCGCGAGTTCTTTGGACATGACACTTGGCTTAAGTGCCCCTTGGCGAATTTCTCAACAGCAGGCGATCCTGTGGAGGATGAGAATTGCGTTTCGCGGGTAAGATGGCACAGGTCGTCGTTGGCCGCCGCGTGAAACTCCAAATTGATGATGAAGGAGAGACGTTCACGCTCAGAGGTAGGGGGTGACATCTCTCATGGAGGCTGCATCAGGGCAAGAGGTCTTGCCCGCTTCTTGGCATTGCTTATGCGATGAGAATCAGATGAAGACTCTGCCTTCCCTTACAGGTAGGTAGGTCTGCCGGTCCTCCTCTTGTTGAGCCAGATGTGGCACGGCTGTCGGCGCAACCAACGAATGGCATGGTCATAGCTCCTACCTACTCCTCCTCCGCACTTACCTAGCAGCAATCATGACGGCCTTGAACCCCACTTCCCCCATCGCACCTGCCTATAACTCGAGGACCAAAGCCGGGTGGGCGCTGACACCTGGTAGCCCCTCCCCTCGTTGTCCCGGCCCGGTGCTCAACGCCGAATGAACGTCATAACGTGATCAGCGAGACTGGCTGCATTCCGAGTAATTGAACACACATCATCTTCAACCTACCCCTTCGCAGTTCTTGGTTGCACGCCTGAACCACCTGAACCAGTGAACGAGGCCAAACAACAACTCGTCTATTCCACAGTTCCTGCCAGCCCACCCGCCCACCAATGCGGCCCTGAGGTCCTCCTCCATCACCCTAATTAAAGCCCTGCGTCTGCACCCTGGCCTTCACGTTGCCGTGCCTCGGCTCACCATCATGCTCAGCATCCTGCCGCGCCCCGGCAACCCTCAGAGGCTATTAAAGCTTTCGTCTCAGGTCACAGCCAGGAGGCCAGTTCAAAACTCTTTCGTGCCCTTTACTCTTCGAGCCGCTTCAACCATGGTCCCCAAGGCACGCCCTTTACCCAGACCCAGCCCCCGAGACCTTGCTAACACTGAAACCTCAGCTCAACGACCCTTCTCTCCTCAAGCAGGATGTATGCTACGTCAACGGCCAATGGGTCAAGGCCAAGTCTGGCAAGACGTTCGAGGTCCACGATCCCGCCACCGGCAAGCTCATCGGTACCTGTCCCGAGTTTGACGGCGCCGATACCGAGAAGGCGATTGCTGCCGCCGCCGAGGCGTTCAAGGACTTCCGTCACAAGACGGGCCGCGAGCGCTCTAAGCTGCTTCGCAAGTGGTATGATCTCATGATGCAGAACGCCGAAGATTTGACCACCCTCATCACCTGGGAGAACGGTAAGCCCCTGGCCGATGCCAAAGGAGAGGTCACCTACGCCGCCAACTTCTTCGAGTGGTTCAGCGAGGAAGCCCCGCGCATTTACGGCAACACCATCCCTTCATCTGTGCCCGGCAACAGGGTCTGGACCATCAAGGAGCCAGTTGGTGTCTGTGGCTTGATCACCCCGTGAGTTCGCCGTCAGTCCCGACCCCCGCTGAATGCCGCCTGCTAAACGTTGGCAGTTGGAACTTCCCTGCCGCCATGGTCACTCGCAAAATCGGCCCTGCCCTCGCCACAGGCTGTACCGTGGTAGCCAAGGCGCCTGCTGAGACGCCCTTCACCTCTCTCGCCCTCGCCGAGCTTGCTCATCGTGCTGGCATACCCGCGGGCGTCGTCAACGTCGTGACCTCTCATCAGAACACTCCCGAGGTCGGCGAAACCTTGACCAGCTCCCCAACCATTCGAAAGGTTTCCTTCACCGGGTCCACCAACGTCGGCAAACTCCTGATGCGCCAGAGCTCCGACACGTTGAAGAAGCTCTCTCTCGAACTCGGCGGCAACGCTCCCTTTATCGTTTTCGATGATGCCGATCTCGACGCTGCTGTTGCTGGAGCTGTTGCTTCCAAATTCCGTTCCAGTGGCCAGACATGCGTCTGTGCGAACCGCATCTACGTTCAGCGCGGTCTGTACGATGCATTTGCTGCTCGCCTCGCAGACCAGGTCAAGGGTTTCCGCGTCGGCAACGGTTTCGAGAAAGGCACGACCCACGGACCTCTCATTCACGATCGCGCCGTCGGTAAGGCTGATGCCCACGTTCGCGATGCTACAGCCAAGGGCGCCAAGGTCCTGGTCGGTGGCAACAAGATGGAGGGGAGCTTCTTCGAGCCAACTGTCCTGACGGGCATGACGCGCGACATGGCCATGGCCGAGGAGGAGACGTTTGGCCCCGTGGCGGGCATCTTCCCCTTTGATACCGAGGCCGAGGTTGTTGCGATGGCAAACAGCACAACCTTTGGTTTGGCTGGCTACTTCTTCTCGAAGGACTTGCAGCGCGTGCACCGTGTCGCCGAGGCCCTGGAGGTGGGCATGGTCGGCGTCAATACGGGACTCATTTCCGACCCTGCCGCACCTTTCGGTGGTGTCAAGGAAAGTGGGTTTGGAAGGGAAGGCTCGCTTTACGGTGTCTCGGAATATCAAATTACCAAAATGGTCACATATGGAGGCATGGGTCAGCCTCTGCAGGCATAGTTCAGAACTGCTCTTTAGTCTTCAAGCGAATCTAGGTAGATGCACAATGCCCATTCCCTGACCACTCTGTGACCTCGATCTGAGGTAAGCTGACAGCAGCGAAAGAGCTTTCCATGTGCCGGTATAGTCCCAAGCATCTACGTTGAGAAGACCATAATTAAAGAAACCTATTTCCCAAGTAGATTTCGTGGTTCGGGTAACATGCACCGCCCAGAGCAATGGCCCACATATGATCCGGTCGTGATGGCAAAAGTTGTCTATGCCAGGGCTCGAACCTGGGGCCTTTTGTGTTGCATACGGGATGTAAGACAAACGTGATAAACCACTACACTACACAGACAGCTGGTTATTTGCCAAAATATTGCGGTTTATGAAGAGTTGTAAATTATGATCATGACACTGTCTTCAACAGAAGCGCAGAGGAAGGACGCCTTGAGTCGGTAGTCCGATACTTTGGGATGTCGAAGAGTCTCGCTTGTATTTTCTCTGTGACGACCAGGCATTGTCTTCTCCTTGAATTTCTGATGGAAAATTGTCATGTTCCAGTATCATGTGGTTGACGAAGGTTTACGGCGGAGAATAGCCCGTGTGTGCCTTCATGACTCCGCTTGAGGGCCTGACTTCCTCTTGTTTGACATCAGCCTCACCCCTTCAAGCTGAGTTTGGAGACCATGCGGATTGAATGGTGATTCTTGAACCTGCTCACCCCTTGAATTTCTGTTCGATAGCCTCTTGCGCAAACGCATATTTTTAGGCGCCGCAATCAGCAGAGGTCCGAGCGTACTCTAGCGTACACATAGTACCTATGCAAGCTATGGTACCTAGATACTAGGTACATAGACACTGTAGCTTCTGCATCAGGTCCCTGAACCAATGGGAGGTCAGCCGTCCCGCCTTGCCTCTTTCCCTGTCGCGACTCCACGCGACGTCAATCGGCTGTCGCAACCTCTCCAAGACTCGTGTGGTTGACCGATATTCCTCTAACGATCGCCCACCGCCCATTATGGAGATCGAGACGGACGAGGAAGTCTTGCGGCAGCTTGCTGCAGGGGGCGCCATGGACTAGTAAGTGGCTTGCCTTCCAGTGCTCTAACATCTCTGACCAGGACCTAATCATCGCCAGCGCTCAATGGCCCAACCTGCTCCAAAGCATCCTCTCAAGACTTGACAAGGTGGGCAGACCTCTCTTGTTGTTGGCTTCAATGCTGACCATACTCTTCTTTCTCTAGATCGCACATGACGAATTTCCTATCCCGGCCCTACCACCCCCTCCCCAGCAGGCCAACGCACCAGGCCAACAAAGAACCCTTCCGCCCCTCCTTTCCTCGTCACTCGAGACGCCCACCAGCCGGCCCTCCTCCCAGGATGCCGACAAGGAGAACAACCAACCCCAGAACTCGGCTGCCACTACCGAACCCACCGTCACAGATGATCCAGAAGAGGCGCCGGCGCCGGCGCTTGCCAGTAACCCTGCCGCCAGGCGTGCTCCCGCCCCAACTGTACGGCATGCTCACCGAGATCAACAATGTCCCTGACCAAGAACTTCACCAAATTCCCACCCGCATTTTTATTCAGCGGGGTCCTCCGAGCTACCTTCTTGAGGCCGCGGCAAGCACTACCGCCACCTCGCTTCCTAACTCCACCGCGCTTCGACCCGCGTCGTCCCACGTCACTT